AAAATGCTAACACACTTACACGTGATGGTGAAACACCTGGAGTGTTAGCACATTTACAAAGGTAGTGAAAAAGATGAAGAAAAGGTGACATAACTGGACTTGTGTTGCTGCCCCAGGGCACCGCCACCCTTTTGTGACGGTGCACCGCCACCCCTGTGGCGGTGATCGGTAGAGGAGGGCGAGAGGGAGATATTATGGGGGGCACCGCCACCTGGACGTGCCCGAGAAGGGCTAGAGCTGGGGCTGGCACCGCCAGCGACGGTGTACACCGCCCCAAGTACGACGGTGCACCACCGGGGGCACCGCCACCCCTGTCCGGTGGCAACACCCCTTCCCAACAGAGAGCGGGGGGGTCTGGAATTGGCCACCGCCGCGGTCACTGCCCTATTTCCCTAGAGAGCATGGTTTTTGGGGTGTTGGCCGGGGTGGCACCACCACCCCCTGCCCACCGCCACCACCACCTGTCCGGTGCCCTAAACTAGCCGTTGGATGACCGTTGGAGGGGCACCGTCACCCCATGTTCGGTGCCACACCGACATGTTCGGTGACCCCGCAGAAGCTGACTCAAAGAAGTAATGACTCTATTTGTTTGTGGGCTTATAAATAGAGCTAGTGGCTGGCCTTGGTCGCTCTCTTGCCACTTCTAACAACTGCATACACCATTTGAGAGCTGAGCACACCACTCCACTCACTTGCACATTTGATTTCATCATCTTGAGTGAGATTGGAGAGTCTCTAGTGCATTGCTTAGTGTTCTAACATCTTGTGGCATTAGTTGGATGATTTGGGATGATGGAGATCTTGTTACTCTTGGTGTTTGCCGACACCTAGACGGCCCGGTGATTGATGGATCGTCGAGTGGAGGAAGGTGATTGTCTCCGGCTCTGATTATTGTGATTGTGGGGGGTTCTTGTGTCTTTCTCAGTGGAGCGCCAGAGACGACAATTCTAGTGGATTGCTCGTGGCTTGTGTGATCCTCATCTTTTGTTGGTTGTACGGCACACGATTGCGGCGCCACGGCCACGGCCACGGCCACCGCTCGGGCGCCACCCGTGTTTCCTACCGACAAGTGGGGCCGATTCTGAACCACGGACCAAGACCCCACCTGTCAGGTGAATCTTGCAGGGCAAGGAGCGGCGAGGCGGGAAAACATTTCGCGGCAGCGGCGGTTTCCCAAATTTCTCCCTCCCTTTTCCGCTCCGCGTCCCCAAACGCCTCCCTATTAATTCCCCCCGTTCCCCTCAAGTCCGTCCCGCCGCCGCTCTCCCCTCCCAAACCCCCCCGCTCCCGCCCAGATCCCAGCTAGGGTTTCCCCGATCTTCCCTCCTCCCCCTCAGCCGCCGGGCCGCCGACCAGGAGACCGCCGCCACGATGTTGGAGCTACGGCTGGTGCAGGGGAGCCTCCTCAAGAAGGTCCTGGAGGCGATCCGCGAGCTGGTCACCGACGCCAACTTCGACTGCTCCGGGACCGGTTTCTCGCTCCAGGCCATGGACTCGAGCCACGTCGCGCTCGTCGCGCTGCTCCTCCGCGCCGAGGGCTTCGAGCACTACCGCTGCGACCGCAACCTCTCCATGGGCATGAACCTCAACAACATGGCCAAGATGCTCCGCTGCGCCGGCAACGACGACATCATCACCATCAAGGCCGATGACGGCTCTGACACCGTCACCTTCATGTTCGAGTCGCCCAGTGAGTGGCCGTTCCTTCTCTCTCTCTCTCTCTCTCTGGCGATTTCTGGTTGTTATTTTGACCCTGACCGTCGTGGTTCCCGTGTGGCAATGAACAGAGCAAGATAAGATTGCTGATTTTGAGATGAAGCTTATGGACATCGACAGTGAGCACCTCGGAATCCCGGATTCCGAGTACCAGGCCATCGTCCGCATGCCTTCTGCTGAGTTTATGAGGATCTGCAAGGACCTTAGCAGCATCGGTGACACTGGTACATTAGAGTTTTTCGTGTTGATTTTACTGTCGTGGATTGTTTAAGTTTTGTTCATTGAGGAGTTGCCGTTTTCTTGTTGCAGTCGTTATCTCGGTGACTAAGGAGGGCGTGAAGTTCTCCACCTCTGGAGAAATTGGGAGTGCAAACATTGTTTGCAGGCAGAACCAAACTATTGACAAGGTACCTTGTCATAACTCAACCCAGTTGTTACCTCAAACCGGGACAATATGGTGTGCCTGTTGCCTGAAAAATGCAAGTGACATTAGCTTTGATTTTTTAGATTTTACTACATACAGTGGTTAGCAAATGTACATCAATTGTCCTTCACCAAGGTTGCTTAGCCTATTTGCTTTTAGCTACCAAATTTGCAGTTAAGTTTGAATGGTGTACTTGTATTGTTCTTTAATTATCTTTAGCTACTATGCTAGATTGTTATTACTGTTCTGTGGTATGTGCACTGGTTCAGTCTGTACAATTGGTTCACCGGTCTGGCTCACAAAATCAACCATTAACACTTAAGTGAGAGTTGAGTACATTGAGACATAGCTTGTTATCACCTCAAGCAACAAGTGGTTATCTTCAATATAGATCTTGTTGAAATCTATTTAAATTTTCAGCCTTTGTAACTTAGCTCCTCCTTTTGTCTGTTTCTGGCTCTGTCCCTGCAATTTGATGTCCTAAAACACAAGCTATTTGGTAATTTGTCTATTGCATAAGATGACAATTCGGAAAGCAAGCATGACACTTCATTTGGTTGACTCAATTGGAATTGATAGCACCACCTGAATTAGGCTTTGTCCTAGTTATTGATTTTTATTATCTGCCTTGGGTATTTTGTTAATCAAGCCTAGAAGTTGTTTATGATGCTAATTGCCATTGGTACCATAAGAGTAATCTCTTCAATACCTGTGCTAATCTACTTGTAACTTCAGCAAAACATTGCAACATTAGTGAGATGTTCTCAATGGATTAATTTATACTGCGTTGTATCAATTCAAAAAATACAGTAGCATATGAAAGATGACTGCCCTGGCTAATGGATACTGTTTTGTTGAATGCAGCCAGAAGAGGCTACCATTATAGAGATGCAAGAGCCGGTTTCCCTGACCTTTGCCCTGAGGTACATGAACTCCTTCACCAAGGCATCTTCACTGTCTGAACAAGTGACTATCAGCCTGTCGTCTGAGCTACCAGTGGTGGTCGAGTACAAGATCGCTGAGATGGGTTACATTAGATTTTACCTGGCCCCCAAGATCGAGGAGGATGAGGAGATGAAGCCCTGATGGCTTGTAATGGCATAATGCTCGTGTTGCCTACTTTTCCTTGTCTTCCAACCATGGTTTGCTTAGCTAGTGTTTGCAAGCAAAAAGGGATGTTATGTGTTATCTAGGCAAGACTGCTTTAGCTACATGTGTCTATTTGTGACTGCTGTGTGAATCCATGGATTTACAGTGAGCCTATTAGATTAGTGGGCTTATGCTTTGTTCATGTGGCTTCTATCTGCCCATTTCTACTCACCGCGTGTTTAGTTACCACTCCAAAATCCAAAAAAGTGCTACAGTACCCATCACATCAAATCTTGCGATACATGCATAGAGTATTAAATGTAGACGAAAAAAAACTAATTGTACAGTTTGGTTGGAAATTACGAGACGAATGTTTTGAGCCTAATTAGTCCATGATTGAACACTAATTACCAAATAAAAATGAAAGTGCTAAAGTAGCCTGAACTGCACAGGATAAGAACTAATAAGCCTAACTTAAATCTTGATTGATAAGCAGCTAGGCATATGTGCAGATGCATAGTTTGTCAGTCTTATCTTGATTCTAGGAACAGCCTCTGAAAGAAGTTGGCTACAGCTTAAGGGGCTATGTGTATGTGCAGATGGTTTTGGGAAATGTTGCAAAACTGAGCAGTCTGGCACAAGATAACCAACTTCGATGTTCTATAGACTATCTGTATTGCGTGCAACGTATCCAGCATGGACAAAAATCGAACGCCTGATTGCGTCCGTTTGCCGTTTGGATCACGGATTCATGGCCTCATGACTCCCAGGCCCCAGGCAAGCAAGCGATCCTCTCCGTGGAGCACCGAGCATGCCTCCCTGTCCCTGGTTAGACGCCTTCACATAATCACAGTGACCGCCCGGCGTGGCGTTGGCATTTTTTCCAAAACGAGGCAATCCCCATTTTCATTACAGAAGCAACTTGTTCAGAGTAGCAAAAGAAGACTTGTTCAGAGTAGCAAAAGAAAGCGCTAGAGGCAGCTACTAGACCTTAACAGGAGCTAGAGATAGCTAAACTGAGACGGATAAAAAAGCAGCATATTGGCTGCATCCAGGTTCAGAGACAGAACAACACAAAAATCATGCAGATTACAGAACATTGAATCTGCATCAGGCTGTGCCTGTGCCATTGCAAACCTCCAGGTTTCTTCTCAACTGAAACTGCCGAAAGCATTGCGTATATCCATACTTTACCTCGGATAGCATTACAGAGGTGGGATCATGAATAAGATCAGCAGATAGCCTTGCAATACATCCACCCAATTACCACTGAAACCGCCGAAATGAGGTCACAGTGTGGCCGAAATTAATGCATGCTCTCTTTTTACAAGATTGTTCACGAGACTACAATCTGATTCAGCTACTAACATTCAGATCGACTGGCGATCGGTGTGAACTTGCTCCTAGTTCCTACTCTTTGCCTCGGTCCCGCCAAAACGAAGTATCCCAATGGGAAAAATCATTCAGGGCGACCCATGATCCATCGTGTAGTTAGTTTGATCCTGCCCTCAGACTTCCCTCCGAGTCGCTGCTCTGCAAGATGACCATGATCAGAAAGCGAACAGGGGTCAACATGTGTGTGCTAATCTAGTGGCACCAGATTTCTAGAGAAATAATGTATAATTCATCAGAGAGGAACCAAAATGATGCTGTATATCTGAACGATGGCCTTTTTTTTTGTAATAATTTGACAAAACCTAAGTAAACCAATCACATGATGAATGTAGAAAATTACATCATCAGAATCAAGACCACTAAGTGGAACATAAGCTCATAGGAGCTCTTCAAATAGGGTATGCAATCCTTTTTTCAGAAGTACATTATAAAACCTCGGGGCAAAAGAAGACGAAGCTATTGTAACCACAGGGAATAATCTGAATGGAGAAGAGATAATAATCACCGTTCACTGCTGATTTCACAAAATGTTTAAAATCACAAGGGAAGCTATTACTAGCATTTTATTTTTCAAATGATCCCTTTCATCTTAAACAGAGACAATTTACCCACCCCCTTTATGCGCCAAAAAAGAAGTTTACCTATGCAAGTATGGCATAAACAGTACACTTCCTGTGTTTTTTGGCATCAAGTCCTGTGCTCTTTCTTTCCCAAGCGAACCTCTATCAACAAGATCAGAATTCACCATGCGTGCTTCCTGCCTACCAGGCTTGGCCTCATGTCCTATTGAAGGAGTAAATTAAGGTTAAAATCGGTAAGTAAAACATACTTATCGAATTGCCAACTATGGCTTACAATCTCTAACCTGGTAAAGATGTGGTTTCTTGAGCTGAAGTTAGGCGATGCTCTAACATCATGTCCTCCTTGAAGATCATCTATATAGATGAGCAAGAAACAAGTGAAACAAAAAAGAGAGGCGTTACTACCTATTTGGGTTACAGACTCTAGACATAACAAAAGGATTACCATTTACCTCAGGAGGTAGAGCCAGCTGAAAGGATTGAAAGCTGGGCTGTGCTGGCTCTCGAAGGAACTGAGGCTCTACAGCGGTTGAACTCCTAGGGACACTCTGTAATACAAGTGGGTTTTCATGCCGTTGATCATGATTTGGTGGATCAAATAAAAGACGAGCTACAGAAATTTGGTTTCCAGGTAGTACAACAGCGCCAGAATTTGATTCCTTGGCACCACTTTGGTTAAGTGCGGCACACATTTCTGAGGGTGCCAGAGCCTCAGGTGCTTCAGACAAGTTTCCTGGAGGCAGATACAGGCATACAGCCCATTCCTCATAGACAACATCTGTAAAAAATAAATAAAAGTAAAAGTAAAGCAAACAAGCTGATATTGGACTGCATAAACGAGGAATACATGAATCATGGCTGGAATGGATAAAGCATTTCGTAGCTAGTAGCATATAACAATACACAAAACAAAGACGGCCAAATGTTGTGTTCTCTATTTCTCTTTTAGGATAGGAACCGAGCGTTGTGATTTATCCCAGCCACCAGGGTGTACATACTCCAACATCGGATATAGAACTTTAAATCATCTCCTAGAAACTTATACCTCCTGAATCCTGGTACCTTTTTAGAGTTAAATATTACCTACTGATTACCAACTCTAGTTGGTTTGATATAGAACTTTAAAGCGTCTCCTAGAAACTTATACCTCCTGAATCCTGATACGCGTGTGTTTAGACACGGAATTCGATAATTTTTCAAGCAATTCACTTCGGTCTAAGATTTGAAAGTCCAGCTAAATCTACAATATAGTGGACCACAATTTTTCCCAACCTTGTTTTATTACGAGTATCTAACTTCTTGGCATTCACAGTTCGACTGTTCCGCCGAACATTCAGCTACTTGACATGCGGATATGGCCATGTCAACTGTTAATCATTTAGCCTATGCAGTTACATATCCCAGGCTGTTGGTTACTACCAGGCAGTCCAGCATATCCCAAACTGTAGGTAATTAGTACTAGCAAACAAGCAGGGCGGTGTCAGTTTGGTCACCTGCACCTGGAGCTGAAGCTGCTTCAGGTACTCAATGGCATCCTCGAGCATGGAGGCCTTGTCCGTCTGCACTTGCGAAACCATTCGCCAAAAGCAGCAGAAGCAAGAAAGATTAGCTCCCAAATTCCAAGGGAAACGCAGAAACCGCAAGAACCAAGCAATATGACAGGAAAGGAGGAGAGCCGACCTTGCTCGGCACCAGTTGCCCCAACAGCGGCCATTGATCCGTGCCCTGATGGGGGGCGCCCAGCCGTTCTCCTGGCTGATGGCCCCCCATCGCGCCGCGCAATAAATAGGAGGTGGGGGCTGGGGCTCGAGACACGAGGTTCACCGTAGCCGCCAGCGCCCCACCGACGTCCTAGCCCTAGTCCAATTTAGAAGGGCGCGCTGTAAGCGATGGGAAGCACCATCGCCTTCGTCACCAGACCGGACCGATCCTCCACGTCACTGCTACCTCGTCGGCGGCGCTATGGACGCGACTGCGCTCAATGAGGTACTTAACAAGGTATTGTATAAGTCAAGTTCTACCCCTTATCTACGCCTAAAAGTACTGTCAGTTTCATCAATGGCATCAGAGCCAGGTTCTAGTGTAGATCTAGATTAAGGGTAGAATCCCTAACCCTAATGACATTGACGAAGAGCGAGAGGAACTCACTGAGCTCCTCCGCCGCCGTCATCACCGCCGTCGCGCAGGAAGAGACCCGCTGTCGCGCGGGAAGGAGACGCCGAGTCGCCATGGTCGGGCGCGTGGGCTTAGGGCCCGGCCGTCGAGTGGCATCCGAACCCTAGACCCAAAATCCTGAGCAATACCCAACCCTAACCCTAACCCTAGCGAGAAAAGTGGGAGAAGGAAGGGACCTACCCATTTTCCCTTACCACCGGCCGTCGTTGACGCCGAGCGGGAAGATAAACCACGCCGCTTCGCCGGCGCGCCGGAAGACTGACCGAGCAAAGGGCTCGCCGGCGCTTCTGACGTTCCGCGTGCGGGCGTAAGGGCACCGCAACACAACCCTTCGACGATAGCGCGCTCACTCTCGGGTTGTGGCAGAACCACCTAATCTAATGCCTCCCAGGAGTACTTGTCTTCCATTAGACACTAAGTACCCAAGAGAGGACACTAATCTATGTAGTTCCGTTGAGCATACCCCAAGGGAGAACTCGAAAATCCACATTTTTCCATCAGGATCATAAATGAGAGAATACAGCTTACAACATTCTCTTAAGTCATTTCTTGCATCACTTTATTACAGTAACAAAATATTACCTCAATTGATTATAACAGCGGAATATAACAATGTTATCAGAGTTACAGAGGAAGCAAGATTAATTTAATGATATGATGGAGCATTAACATAGTGGACATTTTCATACTAGAGATGCTAGCACATTTTACATCTTTTCTTATAAAAACCTTTCGTGAGGGTTATAAATAAACACTACTGTCATAGCGTGAAAGGAATCCTCTCTGAGCCAACCAGGAGATTTCCACACACAAGAGTCAGCTCTAAGTATCCTTCAATTACCTGCAATAGGGGAATAAAACCCTGAGTACTCGATTGTACTCAGCAAGATTTACCCGACAGGAAGAAAATAAAAGACTCCAAGGATATACAAGGCTATCTAGCTTATGAATTATTACATCTGCGGAAGCATTACTAAACGTGCGTCCTTATATTCAACTTCATTAGCAGTCATCACTAGTTCATTAACTAACCATTCTATGTAAGCACCTATACTATTTTCAAGCAGGTGGTAAGCAATCAAAACCATTTTATCATCTTTCATATTTCAGTTCTTACTACGGTGCTAGACCATAGCCAAGTCGTACCGTCTCACGGAAACGACGATTCATGAACCAATGTATCCCAGCTAGGTATCCCGAAACACACGCCCCGTTTATACCCTAGGCACAAACAAGACCAACCCATTCCACTCCTGTCATGGGGTCTAGATCCCCATCCAAACTTAGACTCCAAGCCCCCACACTTGAGACCTGGTCTCAGTACGGTGCTTAGACCTCCACATTTTCGCACCTCCAATCAGTCGGTCCAAAAAGAGCCGGAACCCGCGACAAGAGCGTAACGAGCCTTTCCGCTCCCATAAGCAAGTATGTGTTCAGGATAATAAGTCTGTGACCTGACTACCATCCACAGCAACGGACGGTCCTCAATCGACACATGCGAAACAAGTGCAATCCGAGCCTCGCTCGAATGCCTAATCAAGCCTAGATCCAAAGTACCATTTCGTCTGGTCTCCAATTATCATTCATATATATTCTATGTGACAGTAATGTAACAACAACAATAATATCTTTCATATCTCTCGCGAGTGACAGGTAATCACTCGACTTCTACCGGATCCTATAGCATAGCAATCTACACGATCCTGACATACTAGTAGGATTCATAGGATAAGGATATATATATGCAAGTGGTTTTCATTCAACTTCTTAAAACTTAATGCACAAGCATAAGATAAAGTGTAGATTAATAGGGGTTATGCACCGAGGCTTGCCTGGGTAAGATATAACCAAAAGTTAGCATTCCATCATAGTGACACGATCATTAAGGCATCATCTTTTCCACTACTTCAGTCGACTCCATGATCCATCGTTGTTCCTATTATGATATACGTGGATACAACGCAGAGGCGCAATTAATCAACGGTAACCGCAACTCTTAAATATACGATTACGCTCCGCAGGCTAACGAGCCATATTTAATGAGTAATGTACTGATCTACGCATCCATATCGTCAAGTAAGGCTTTGTCTCCGGAAAAATGTTCTAGTTTTAAAATCCCAAGATGCTTTGGCATTTTATTGATTAAATATATATTTTCGAACTAGGGCTCATTTAGCTACCTTAGCAAACTAATTATTATGGAGCTACAAAAATTACAGTGAGCACCTAATAATATGACGAGTTTACTGTGAAAGTTTCAGAGCCAACACTATCACCAATTTATCACAACAATTCCTATAAGTTTATATCTTACAATATTAAGCATCTTAAATTAATTAGATAACTCTTGAAAATATTATAAAACTATGTGAATAAAATATACTAGCAGATAAATCATAATTTTTGGAACCTAATAAAATTTATTTCATAATTTTTGGACATCTACATGATTTTAGATTAATTACACAAAACTAGTTCTTAAATAAAAATACAAAACCATTTCTAATTCTTTACTAAAAAGAAGAACCAAATTGGCCCAACGTGGCCCACACGGGGCGCGGCCCACGCACGGAGGCGGCCCACGACGGGGAGCCCCCCGCGCGCTAGCGTTTTAGTGAAAATACCCCCAAGCTACCTACTATTCTCATAGCCACTATTCGTCCTATTTACTCAGTCAACACTTATGCACGAAAGACCCCGAGAGAAGCTGTCTTCGCATCGAGGAGGTCCCCACGACCCTCGTGCTCGCCGGTGCGGCGTGGACCGGTACGGCCACGTTATGCCGGCCAACAGGGATCCTTGAAGACCTAGCTATGGGACCGATGCTCACCTATGGGCTGACACACGGCGATGGGTGGTGGTTGCACGAACGGAGGTGAAGCAGAGCGGGCTCTCCCCGACAGCGGGGCGACCTACAGCGGTGGCAATCGCGTTTCGGTGAGCCACACCGTGCAACAGATCATAGAAGTGATGAATAAGCATCAGTGACGCACCACGATCCTACCCGTGGCGGTGGCCTAGCCAAAGACGCCCCGAGCAAGTCTGGCCGCGTGCGCACGGTGAGCTCGATGTCGAACCGTAGCGACACGGCCGTGTTAGCGGCGTGGAGGCGGATATAGGGCTACGACTTGGGTGTGCACGACAAAGAGGGTTCTAGGCGGGGCTAGTGGTGTGGTCAATTTGACGCGAGATGGCGAGGATGGAGCTAGCCACGGTGAGGCGGGCTGGGCCTTAATGGCGCGGTGGCGGAGCAAAGCTCCAAAATTGGAGCTCGGCCGATCTGCAATCAAAGTGGGGTGGGGACGGCTGGAGAGGGGACGTGAGGGCGGAGCGGTGGGCACGGCGAATTAATGGAAGGCATCCTCTCGCGTCTAGGCACTCTAGGCGCGGTGCAACGGCGGCGGCAGCAGAGAGGCGGACAGGGGAGAAGCGAGTGGACGGGAGGTGGTGGGGACTAAGTTAGAGGCTCGACATGTGCTTGTTTGGAGGGACGCGATTAGCACGACCGGGGCGGGCCATGGCCAAGCGCTAGCCGACGGCCACACGCTCGATGTTGACGTGGCCCACGCGCCGCAGTGCCATAAATGGCAAGATGACAGCGACACGGCCTCGTGTCGCGTGGCATCAAAGTGGGCAATGACGCGACGCAAAGACGGCAGTGGGTATGCACGAAAGCGCGACATGATGCGACAAAGAATGGCAAGGCTGCATTCTGGCATTGTGCGGCATCACGGGAGAGGCGGTAGGGCGCTTTCGGTAGGGCAAGCCACAACAATAGTGGCTCCTCATGGTCGGGTCAGGGCGACCAGGCCGGCCAAGCGCGGCAACGCGTGTGCACACGCAGAGCGCGCTAACGCCACGATGGCGCACCTCCACAGCCTGGTGACCGCGCCCAGCCCAGAGGGCTAGCCCGAGAACGTGCTGTGCACGGATTTTAAAACAGCGACTACCACTGAACCATTGCCTCTAAACCGAAACCAACTTTACCAGGATCAAACTGATACATGAGGCTACTCAACCGAGCTAAAACACCGCATCACCCTCTAACCAAATCCTCTAAATAAATTGCTAAACTGAGCAATGTCTTGCTATTGACAAACTTGGAAAATTTCTAAGTTTTGAGCTGAATTTGATTTCAATTTACGATTTTTAAGCTATTGAAAATATTAGCTAGTAATATCATTTTTCGACAGCAAGTATTTCACTGTCATCTAGAAAGTTCATATTTCAAACTTTATTTAAGTGTCACACACATGTTCTATAGTATTTTTGCTTAATAAAAATTAGTTTTAAACCCTACTTGATACGCATGAACTATCGAATCAACTTTCGTTTAGCATTTTTATTGATCATTTCGAGTTATAGAAATTGATCTACACTACTTTATCACATGCATTAACACATAAACATGATGCTCATGACATGACTTAGTAGTTGGTTTAGGGCGTAACACTGAGGGTGTTACACGGGTGAACGCGCGCACCGGCGAAGGGACGCGCGACGGTGCCGCCTCCTCCTCCAGCCGCCACGCCTCCATCGTCGCTCTATCGGGGCGCTCTTAGGACAGAAGAAAAGGGGAGTAAGAAAGAAGTAGAGGAGAGTTGCCGGATCTGCTCCGGTGGAGTTTCTCCTCACCGACGCCGACGACCACCGTGTCCACCGTCGCTCGTCAAGAGAGAGTCGAGGGGGGGAAGAATGAACGAGTCTAGGGTTTGGGGGAGGTCGGTCGGGTGGGGGCGGTTTTTGTTCTCCCGATCGGTGTGCACGACCGTCCGATCGAGATGGACGGGTGGCGATGACTGGGCTGGCTTACAGCCCAAGCGGGGGCAGGGATTCCCGTCCTAGGCCCAGGTTGCGGTCTGGGCGCGGGGGAGCGCGGGCAAGCGCGCGTGAATGGGGTCATGGACCGGCACCTAGGCGTGCTGGGCCGAGCGCGGGTGCGCGTGCGCGATTTCGTAAATGGGCAGCTGACTATTTCTCCAGGCCGGGCCGAATGCACAGTACCGATCAGAATTAGTTTATTTATTTTCAGAAGCGAATTTTGATGAATTTTTT